CAATAAAACAAACTAATGGAGTGAGATAAAACTGTCCAATGATCTTATGTAATAACGGAAAAAAAGCCTGGTAGAACCAATACACTAACCAGTGGAGCATGCTTATCAATACCGCCTACTTTATACTTCTTTAGTGATTAGAGCTGAAAGTACATTATCAGATCATAGCCAGTCCCATTAGATTAATTAACCTAGAAACATATGAGAGAAAACCTTACTGATCAAGTTGGATTTCGACGTTTACTTGCAACAGAGTTAACATCAGAAAGTAAATTGATTGTGTCTCATACGTGGTGGCGGGTGGGGGACGGCGCGCCAAATTTCGTCGGCGATGGGCTGGTTCTGGACTCAAGTAGGCTGGGCCTCTGAAGTATGGGCTGGCGAGAGAAATGGATCCCCGAGGCCTTATGGTTTACGCTTTCCTTTTCCCCCGCCAGGCCAGCGGTAGTTTATAGCCGGCCCTTCGGTTTACTGACCCGGAAAACGACCCGGACGAAGTACCTGGCTGCCGCCGCCGAACGTCTCTTTCTTTCCTCTTCTTTCTCTGCGGCCCGGAAAAACTCAGCTCAAAATCGGCAGTCGGCTGCTCTCTGGAAGACAGTCTAAGCGAAGTGGAATTTAAAGTAAGCAGCTTTGTTACTTTCAAGAGAAAGGGAAAAATCAAAAATCCCCTTTTGATCTCTAGAGAATCCAATCAACAGAATGAAGCGAGGAAGGTAAGAGAGAATAAAGAAAACGGAATGAACCAAAGGTAAGGGAGATGAATCTTTGCAACCGAATCCCTGAAAAAAAACCCCAGAACCCGAATCCATAAAACTTAAAAGCAGCGACAACAACAAACAGAAATCTGAAAGAGGAAGAATAACTTACGGCAAAACCAATACCGATCTAACGCTTAGAGAACGGAAATCAAAGGTAGATGCAAGCACATAAAAGAACCAGATGATTGAGTCAATGTTTGGTTTTTCTGAAGGCCAAGAAACTTATTCGAATGAGGTGAAAGAGTGGAAGGAAGGGAAATCGGAAATAAAAAATACAAATTAATATAAATTAAATGAGAACGTGGACCTGGAAGGAGAAAAAAGTGGGTAGTGGAGAGTTTTTTATACAAATTAAATGAGAACGTGGGTCTGGAAGGAGAAAAAAGTGGGTAGTGGGGAGTTTTTTGGTTCTGAAATCAGGCGGGACTCTTTTTTTCCCGCTTAACACTCTGCCACATCAGCTTCCTAAAATCACTCTATGGGCAGAAAATTTTGAATGGGGGTTGCAGTTTTACTCTTCAGCTATAAATTATACGGTTGATGTAATTAAAAAAGTCTGAGTCGTGGCTGGATCATTGAATGCTTTTGTTCCCTCAACAAGCTAGGAAGTAAAAAAAAAAAAAGCTAGGAAGTCAAAAGCCCACTACTTGACTTGAACCATGAAAATGAGAATAATAATTTGTTTCATTTGCAACCACTCAATCATTAATGCCGCATTCATTTCAGTTTTTATGGGTATACGAAACGGTTACTACTAGAATAAAAAAGGCCAAAGTTTCTTTTTTCCTTTTCAGACCTTTTAAGCAGCCTCAATCAAATCCAGCTGATTGGCCTTTTGACCTATTCTCTTAGAATGCTAAATGATTTTTAAATCCGAACAAAAACTATTAGCCTTTACCAATCGAAAAAACAAAACCAAATCGATAGCCCTAATCGTGACCCTTTCTATTAGGATGGGTGTATTGAACATTATCTTGAAGGAGAGCAAACCCATCGAGCCATCCTTGTTAACACACATCCGCTCCAACTGATTGGATTTGCTTCTTGGCATAAAAAGAAGAATGCATGACGAAGTCACTTAACATTGTTTTGTTATATTAAATCGAAATATATCAATTATGTGGCCATCGAGATTAGAATGTCCTACATATGAATAACTATTGGTTCGCACATCGATTTGTAATCTATATATATATCTAATTAGGGGTGGGCATCGGTTCGGTTCGGTCAAAACTGAACCGAACAGGAGCATACTGAGTCCTCCAACCATCCCAAAGTTGCAACCGAATTCGAACCGAAATATATTTCGGTTACGTCAGATTGAACCGAAATATATCTCGGTTCGGGATCCCGACCAACCTGAACTTCTAGAGGAATCCTCTCCCCTGTTTCCCCACATCCCCTTCAATCTTTCGTACCACTTCTTTCACCCTCTCTCTGCTGCTCTCTCTCTCTCCTAAACAAATCTCCATCCCCTTCTTTCACCCCTCCCTCTACTGCCCTGCGCTCTCTCCCTGCCTAACAAACTCTCTGTCTCTCTCCCAAACAAAAGTGTATCCCAAACAAAATTTGAATTTCATTTTGGGAGGAAAGAGAGAAAAAGGGAAGTAGAGATCTCAAAGGTGCGGTTTTAGAGGAAGAACAAAGTGGGGAATGCTAGATCTATTTTGCGGAGGGGGCAGAGAATCAAAATCGCCAAGGCCGAAGCGATTCGAACTCTAGTTTCTCCGTTCTCGTCCTCCGACCTCAAGGACGGAGTCACCGCGATCCTGCCGCTGGTGGGTCTTCTGGGGAGTGGCGGATTTCATCGTTGGTGCGGGCTGCGACAAGGAGCTAGGCGGGGCTGGCTGCGGGCGGCGGAGGAGGCGAGCTGGCTGCAGGCTGCGGTGACAGCGGTTACATCGATCGTCGGAGAGTCGAGAAAATGCATGGGAATGTTGTTGTGAGGGTGGCGATTTTCCTTCGTCTCTCTTTCTTCTCGCCACTGTGGGTGCTGCTGGGAATGGAATAGCAGACAGGGTAGAGGGTGGGCTTAGGGTTGGGGAGGTATTGGGCTTCGAGAGATGAGTGGTTGGGGAGGGTGGGCTTCAGGAGTGGTCTGGGCTGGGAGAGGTAGAGTAGGTTCAGGTTAGTTCGGGTTTTCGGTTCGGGGGTTCGGAATACGGTTTCGGTTGGACTACCCTGGGTTCTGAAATCTTGTTATTCTGTTTCCGAATTCCAAACCGAGTTTGGATAATTCGGATTTGGTTCGGTCGAGACTCGGTTTGGTCGGGGTTCGGTTCGGGTTTACCGAACTGGATGCCCACCCTTATATCTAATGGATATAGGCACAGGGGCGGAGCTAGGATTTAAAGTTCGGGAGGCCGAAATAACTTTGTATATTATCGCCAAAATGAAAGAAAAAAAGTAATGTATATAAGTATATAACAATATAACATTAATTTAAATAATCGAAAGCACTCAAAATAGAATTAATTTAAAGTTTTCTAGTATGCTATGCTCAAAGTAAATGATTATACCAAGGAAAAAATGTATCATGTAATTTTTTCAATTTTATTATGCATTGAATATGATTTTATGATTGAATTAATGTTTGTAAAAATTAATTAATTAAATATAAAAAAATCCTTGAAGTTCATGAACTCGAATGAGGTTATTTAAAATTATAGGATATATAAGACAAGCAGGAAAATTAAAGGATTGAACTGAAAAAAAAAACACTAATAAACTAGTAAGGTAAAATTGCAGACTACCAAGATTGAACGAGTGACCATGTAATTGCAAGTAGGTATCACCTCCACTAGGCTGTAAACCTGCCTTGGTAACAATTTTTCAATCGGACTGTATCTATATTTACATTAGTTTATACGTAATTTTTTAAATTTCCTATGATTTTATATGTAAGTTTCAAAATTCTCGGGAGATTGGGCACCCCGAGAGCCTACATAGCTCCGCCCCTGTATAGGTGATAATGATTTGTGGAACATGCAATCTAAGTACCATCATTGTTGTAGATGTTTTAAACGAGAAAAGTTATTCGGGGTAAGAGATGATTGGGAAGGGACACAAATAATAATAATTACCATCCGACTATTGATAGTACGGTACAAATTGCTAGCTCTTTCTTTCCTTTTAACTTTTGTCTTCCCATGATTGCTTCTGAGAAATGGGGACTCATCTCGTCATCTTACTAAAAGATTTTCGTAATAAAATGATCATCATCTTGCTTTCTTTCCGTAATAACAATATTACAACAGTGAAATAGAGCGGGGAAATGCATATATTTAATTTATTGGGAGGTGGTAAAAATGAAACACAATAAATCCGATACCTCAAATGCAGTATTTCTCAAATAGTAGATTGCGAAAATTGAATCGAGAAGCAAGGGATTAAATAAGCCTTCTTGCACTTCCCCATTTGTGACATCACGATAGAATTAAGGTGATTGTAACCTGAACGGCAAGATGACCTTGATTAATGTCTTTGTTTTTTTTTTTAATTTGGATAAATGATTTATGGAGACCGAATAGAGACATAATCTGGTGGTGGTATTTTTCAGGTGTGACGACTTGGAGAAGTATGAATGGACAGGTTGATAAGTACACAACGAAAGCTGTGATGTCAGTTCCTACCACTCACCCTTCTTCTTCTTCTTCTTCTTCAGCTACAGAAATCACATAGCTAGACAGCGACCTGCATTATATTATGTTAGGACCAAATATTCTCAGAAATAGAAGAGAAACAACAAAAGAGAAGGGGAGATGAAAAGGAGAAAGGGATCAAACTCTGCCACATGACGCTGTTCTAACCTCCTATGTACCACAATGTTTGGGGACCCCAAAGAAAGTGTAGACACCACACCACCTTGGTAGCTATTGGACATGGACCTGCTTTTCATCATGCAGATGAACAGTATTTTTTTCAAAAATTATTTTTATGATCCATGAACATTTCGAGCTTATTTTGTAATCAATAAACACATAGTAAATTCATAAAGATTTAAGTATTTAGTCTTGTTCATTATGATAATTGAATTTTTTTTTCTTTTCTTTCAGAATAATAGGTTAGTAAGAATCGAATGTGAGAGCACACCATGTTAATTTTCATCCTTCATCATTTGGATTGGTTCTTGGTGTTTATTAATTTTGTTAATTGGCAGTGGACATAAGATAAGAGCATGTCTATTTATTATGAGCTTTGAATTTCCATCACTTGTAAATTGATCTTATGATGGGAAAATCTTATGAAAAACGTTTAATCTAAAAATAAATAAACGGAGGGAACAAATAATAAAGCCAAGTTGGTTCAGGAAGGGAATCTAACCACCTTTCAGCCAAGGAATAAGAAGGGGGAAAAGGATAAAAAGGGGCCCATAACCAGAAGCCTATGGGCTTTGTCATGACAGCTGGGGACAGTGTGGTTATGTTAAGGCCAGTACATCTCCAAATTAACCTCTACAGTGGTTGGCAATATGGCCCCTCTCCACCAGTGTTCAAGATCAAATTGCCAGAAATTTATCAGACCCAGTTTCATACTTCCTTTCTCTATCAACTGTGCTTCCCAGCACAGCGGGATGGACTAACCTTGCCATGGAGTTGGGATATCTCAAGCAGGAGGCCGATTCGGAGTTTCAAACCTTCATCCTCCTTCTCCCTTAACCAAGGAGATCCACTCGCGGCCATTCTCGAAGAAGGCTACACAGTTCACTGCAACATTCTTCCAGGAAATGAATCTGCAGGTGGCAGATGCTCTAGTGAGGGCAGGGGTATGAATGTTAGATATAAGGCCCCGATTAAAGTTAATCAATCCTTTGTATAGATAATAGAGACACCACAAGTAACAGTTCACTTGAATTTCTCAAAGTACATAACATCACGCAACACCACCTCAAAAAGAAAGGACACAACATTCATGGTGCAGAGGACCATGGTTCAAAACAACATTTGAAAGTTTGCACGTAACAAATGCAATCATGCTTTGAAATCTCTTGTCCAGTAGAGCAGTGCGGTTGAAGGTTTGCAGGGGGGCAGCTTATGTGGAGCACATTTCTCCAAGAACAACCTGTACAATTGCATCTTGCTTTATCAATTTGATCGAATATATTTGGTTAGTTCGATGTCCTTTCAGTTCAATGTCAAGGAGTCTCGTATGTTTCAAAGTGTTCAATGATTTAGGTGCGGAAAAAGCTCAGGAAGATGTGCATTAGTGAGCTTGGTCCTCTTGCTGATCTCGTGCTTCTTCTTCTTCTTAGACTCCGACTTCGGGGGGATGCCATCAATTTGTGCTGCAGCTCTCCTCTTTGCAGTATCTGTCGCAGGCTTCATGCCATTCTTCTGCAGATCCCTCTCAATGTCGAGCATGTCGAGAGGCAATGGAATCTCTCGAAAGAGTTCTTTTAGGTCATCATCCACCTTGATGATTACCTTAGGGTCATTAGGATAAGCAATATCCTCCTTTGAATCAAAGTTCGACATCAGCCATATTTTGCCTTCAGTTTTCAGTTCCTAAGTAAAATAAGACAAGAGCACAAGATAAGTTTGTTTCATGAGGATCTCTCGTGTGGGAAATTTCTTTGTCGCAGTACATTGTTCCATACAGTTATTACATTTTGATACCAGCAACAACATGGAAACACGTAAGTGTGACCATTAGAAATTACATATGTCTAGTTTCGTAATCTTTGATGCTAAGTGCATGGACGCTAAGGGTTTCACTGCAGCATTCAGCTCTCACAGCAGTAACTCACAAGCAACTAAAAGGAAGACATATTTTACCCAACAAGTGTCCAAGCCTACAATACGCACCTGTAGGTCTTCCATGACACGGGGGTATGCATCCTTAAGCTCAATAACAGCAATTCCCAGAGAGTACCGCCGAATAAATTTAAGTAGTTCGTCCTTGTTCAGCAAGTTATGTGTTGACTGTAAGCAATTCAAAACCAAGAATGTCATCTAACATGATATGTGGGACACAATTAACCAATCTAGAGCACAATGATTGAGCTTTCAAATCCAAAACTGTACTAATCAACAAGGATTAGCTACTACTTCACCTTATAGGAGAAACTCCTCCCATCGTAGTTCACTTTTGGATTTGCCTTCAAACTGTCAAAGAGTTCCTTGTTTAGTCTAACATCAACATGTGTGGCTTCATTTATCTGGTCTGGAGTGAATGCTCTCCTTGTCTGTAAAAATACCATACATAATTGGTGAGACATGTCAAGCGAGTTAGCTGTCTTGGCATCAGAACATTAAACACGAAATTTGCACAGAGATCACGAGTTTCTGCCGCTCACTCAATATTGAACCGAATGACACTCTACTGAACAGATCATCCGCATACCTACACCATCCAGATTGTTTCAGTAACTCATTTTCCCCTATTAACAAGACTTCATCTGGAGCCAAGAAACACCAGAACACTACAATGTAGGTGTGAAGTTGCTGACCAAGCTTCTGATAAACCACAAACGCACTTTTTAAAGAGGATCCGTATCTCCTAAAATGGCTAGCTAAACAACCAAGCTGCTGGATCCAACTAGCCAACGATGACTTCTAGTTTTTAGGAGGACGCATTTGTCCTTGCAGAATGACTCAACCAAAATTTAAGCAAAGCTAGTCATGTGCATCACAGGACATACAATAAAGGTATCAACAACCAAACCTTGTCCAAGAGCGATATAACACGCTTCATCTGCGCCCCGACGGGAGCCTTCCGGATACCATTGATGAGTTGAAGCCTTTCTGTATCATTAGAGAACTTGATACTGTTGGGAGCAGGACTTTTCCCGCTGCTTGCTGCAGCACCATTGCCGGAAGGTTTCTGAGAAGTGTTGGAAGATCCAGCCTTGGCAGCCACGTTCTTGATCGCCGAGCACCTCTCTGCCTGCTTGTTGAACTTGTCCAATTTCGCCTTATAATCCATCTATGAAAAGCTCAAAAAAAACCACAACCAATTCTCAGTTACACAATAGAGAAATCGATCACCAAATCGGAAGCACAATTGGAATAGTATAATCACGAATCAATCAAATCTGCAAGCCTGACATTTTCTCGTATCCTTTGGGTCTCCGATCAAAACCCGAACGTTTGATCAGAAACCTAAGCAATTTCGAGGAGAGATGCTGGGTATCTCAGATGCAGGAAGAAGATTCAGAAAAAGAGGATTAGCAGTCTGAATCGGAGAGAAGAAATAATGGAAACCTTGCGCTTCCGCGAGAGTAGAGCTGGCTAAGGTCGGAAGGGAAGGCAGGGGGAGCTTCGGCTTCAATGTTGGCTGTCGCTGGTTGGTCCGGTCATTTGAAGAAATATATATATATATTTTTACGATTTCCTCAGTCCGGCAGACCTATTTTTAGTTGGGCTGACAAGGACAAGGCCCAATAATTATTAACCCAGTATTGAAGGGTTGGGCTTTCTAGTGTATCAGCCATCTTCGGCCATTGTGAAGCCACTCGCGATCGAGTCAGTAAGTGGATAGCGGGACTTTTCTGTCCATGTTAGGCAATTTTACGTGTTAGAACTTAGAAGCGGGACTCAAATCTGGTTTGGATGAAGAATTTAAAGGAATCAATTTAACTTAATTGTCTCCAAATCTGACGTCACTATTATTTACTATTTACAACTAGTGCAGTTAGATAGATGGGAACATACTTATGCATGCTACTGCTTTGGGTTGTTTTGATTCATTCTGCAATTTTATTTTCCATCACACCAAACGGATCAATTGAGATGAATTTGATTTACGGGAATAATTATTTAATTAATAATAAATAATTTTAGATATTTATGAAAGAGTATGTTCACGAACCGACCATTTAAACACTTTCTAAACTATTATAAATGGAAGAAAATTTAACATTATAAAAAAAATATGTTATAATATAAAATTGACCATAGTATATTTGTGAGGCAATTAAATTATTCCAATATATTTATAGTAAGAACATCCAAATATTGAAAAGGAAGATACTTTTCCTATTATTATACTATTATGTAACCATAATTTTTTTAAAATAAACACAATAACTATATTCCCATTCTTTCACATGGGGCTAAGATGTATGTTTAGTAGATAACTAATAGATTCATTCATACTATTTTATGGAATCAAATTGTGTTACAAGAAAAGTGTGATTGAAACGAAAAGAGATGTATTGGTCCTGTATGTATCGTGGGCCCAAATATATGGTGATTATGGGCCCAAAGTAAAAGTAGGAATCGTGGGAAAGAACCGTCGTCAAATGACGAAAAGCAAGCGGAAAACCGGGGGCACACGAAGACCTGAAACTCAACTGAAATTCACATACGTGCACCATAACCGTTTCCTTTGCGGAAGAGAGAGAGAGAGAGAGAGAGAGAGAGAGAGAGAGAGAGCATGCAAATGGAAGGAAGTAATTAAAGGCAGGCAAATCCCCTGGCGCTGTGCTCTCACACTTGGCAGTTCAAACTTGAACAAGAACGTGAATAAGCAGCCTCCTATATCCCTTCTCTCACTATTAAGATAAGATACTCTAGAGAGAGAGAGAGACAGAGAGAGAGAGATGAAGAGGGTAATGTGGTTATATAAACTGGTGGTGCAGTAGTACTAGTACTGTTCTATGGTTCAAGTCAGAAGATAGAAACGACTTTCAGTAATTAGTTCTTCAAGCTAAGTCTCCCTTGACAGAGGGCACAAAGTTGAAAGTTGTATCATCGGAAGCCAAAGCCAACCCGTTCTGTTGCCTAGTGCGAATCCCGATTCCCGACCAAAGAAGGGCAGCCGCAGGAGTAATTTATAAGGTAGTGATTCATGATGTACAAAGATTCCCAACACGAACGAGACTGCTTCTTGCTGTGTGGTTTGCATGCAATTCATTAACTGTACGTTCTGTGTTTCTTTAGATTTGGCTTTGGAGGTGTACGTGGGGGGTGATTTGATCTCTACCCACAAGGTTCGGTCTTTGGGTTGAGGGTTTCAATCCGCGGTTTATGTGCATCGGTCTCAATTACACATCTGAATCTGTTGGAAACTGTTTTGACGAGGACGTGAAACACGTATCGATTTTTTAATAGTTTCATTGAAATCAGTCATACTACAGTACTGTGTCGATTAATTGATTTTATTGAATAAACCAGATCAATCAAGAAGCTGAAGTAGACTGACAGAATCAACCGTGGATATGATTTCAGAGTACCATAACATTTTTACCTTTTTGCATTTGAATGTGATTTCTTTTGAAAAGGTTGTTTTTTTTTTCCATCTTGATGTTCTATATTATTCTCTTCTTTTTCAATTGTTTTTAACCGAAATTTTGGGATGATATTATGTTCACTTAAATATTGTAGATGGATCATCCGCCATGGTTGCCATTTGACTGGATTGCTGAAACTAAAGTAGTAAAGAAGGGACCAAGTAGCGGATCCACTTATAAGGTATTCTACTCTTTCTTTCTGACTTAATTCTTCCTTTACTTTCCTTGTCTTTAGATTCCATCTTGGCATTACAATGAATGATAGTGAGAAAGAAGTGTACTTAGAGCGTTCAATCTAGCAGTACTCACTCAATTTGGGGAGTTAAGTCTTAAGATAGAGTCTTTGAACCTTCCATTCCTCACACTCTGCCACTCAAATCATAAATCATTCCACTAGATTTTCTTTTCTTTGAGAAGTACTCCCCCAGATATTGTGTAATTCTTGAGTATTTGGATATGGTCATGTTCAATACAATTCTGTTTGATTTGACCAATTTTAACAAGGGAGGTTTTTAGGCTTCAGATGATTTTTCACTCTTTGTGATGATTTGATCAATTGATGTATGTAACTTGATGAGTTAGTTGAACGTGTGTGTTGAAATAAATCATTTAATCGTTCTGATATCGTTAGTGATCTTACGGACATGTAAGTAATTAATGTTTTAGATATTAAATATTGATTGTTGTATTTTTATTATAAAATGCAAACGTTAACATTTTATCATGGTAAAAGTTTTGCAAGTTTTCAAATTCATCCGTCTTGTATACCTTATATAATCAAACCATATATATAATTTTGTACAATATTTATCGAAAAGAATTGTACAAATTCTCTCCAAGAATGATCAAATATGCTGCTACCAAAAAAAAAAAAAAAACGAATGATCAAATATGAGTTCACGGCGACTCCAAACAATTCCCCATCCTAATAAATCGAAATCAACTCATTTGTTCGACCAGATACATTTACTCGACTGAAGAGCTTGACTTGTTCTTCCTATGATAAGCTTCATCTCGTTGCTCTTGTAATTGCAGTGCTATACAGAGTTGGCAACAGGGAAAAGGTTTTATTCAAAACCAAAGGTACTCTCCTATCTCAATCTTGGCGGGCAGAACAATGGTGACAACTCTAACGAGCAGGTATGTCCTGTTTCGTTTCCCTTTCCCCTGTTTACTACGAAACTAAGCTTCGCTATGTCAAAATAATGCATTGTTAAAAAGTATTCTCTCCATTTCCATGTGTTACCATACTCATGGCAATAGGCATCACCTGGAACCAAACAGCTGCAACTCGAGCTTCCTCCTGCATTAACAGAAGGTGCGGAATTCGAATTCCTCCATCAATCTTATTCATGAAAATGATCGATTGTCAAACAATGTGTGTGTGTGTGTGTGTGTGCGCATACATTCATGTTCTATGTGTTGCAGTTGAATGGAACTCCATTGCAGAAATCTATAACTCAGCAGTTTCAGGAAATGGAGATGATGGATCATCCACCCAGCAAAACACTAATAGCCCAATTCCTCAAGTTTGGAAGACCACTGCCATGGAGGAAGACCAGGTTGAAGTGGAGCAGAACGATCAATTCATAATAATCAGTACATCTGAAACTGAAGACCTGATGGAAGAGATGCTAACAATAAGCAACAAGCACAGTGATCATGACAATAAGAACAAGGAGAGCAAATCGGAACGAGAAGCTGCTGCTGAGGAAGAAGGAGAAGTAGAAGTAGAGACTGGAAAACCAGTATCCAACTCAATCAAGTCTTCCTCTTCTTCATTGCGTCGGGCATCCAAAAGACTCGCTGGGATTGAACCCGAGCTCGATACCCTTCTGATAGACCCCACTCCTCCTAGGAAAACAGGAAAGCGGTCAGCCAGACAGAGGTCCAAGCTATATACAAAAAGCTTGGAGGTTCGTGAAATGGACATCGACAAGGTGGAAGAAAAGCAAAATGTGGAGAATGCGGAACAACAACTTAATGAGCAGAATGGTGGAGTGCCACCAACACAAGCAGCAGCACCTCCACTAAGGTTTCATAAGGAGATGCTGTCAAATAATTGCATTCAGTTTGCACTGAAAGTTCTGAGATGTGAGTATGAAGTTACAAATGAACCCGAGGGGTGTACAGCCAAGCAATTCTACGAGGAAGCAATGTCGGATCCCTTCTTTGAATATGCATGTGAGAATGTCCCTGATCCTTCTGAGATCCTACCTCCCTTGGGGTATTACAGCATGGAGAAAGAGTTGGATGAGTTTGACAGAGATGTGGAAAAGTGCAAGTCGCTTCCGAATTTCGGCTTCCCCATGTCCTTTGATTCTGATGTTACTGTCCATTTTGAGACTCCTCCCCTCCCCTGAAAGGTGATTATGAGTTTGGGAATAGCAAGCAGGAGCTGGGTTGGAGTGGAGATCAGCCAAAGAAGGGAAAGTAATAGATTGACAGATGCTAAAGACTTCTCCCTTCCCTGCTGGTGTTTTCTTAGTTTAATTTGGCCATCGAAGGATATGTTAGGCAACTATCTTTGAACTTTAAAGTGCACTGAAGTTTCTTCGATGGATACTTTATTGGAGGATGCATGGAACTTAATTTGAGAATATGTTTCTTCATTCCTTATCTTCTATACTGAAAATTATCATTAACCTGATTTAGGATGCCGCAGAAAGAGATTCAGTAGTAACAAGCATGAACAGCGCAAAATACATTAACTGAAAGCAGGCAAATGTTTGATATGCTATATTTTGTTGTTGAAACACCAAATTCTTATTGACACTAAAACACATTCATCCCAACAGAGCACACACAAAACCCACCAACTCCAAAGCTGATATGACACTCTCAAATGCATTATTCTCAGTATGATGCTTCAGACTGCTTCCATCCTCCAAAGCTCTCTTCTTCAAATCCGCGGCTTCGGTGTTCCTACAGCTCAGAAACAGACGAATCCCCCTTAGCAATGGCATGACCCCTAAACACATAAAATTGCAGCAGAAAGAACAAACAGGTTTGGTTTTAGAGTGGTACCTCTCTTTTGAATGTGAGGCCAACCCTAATGGAGCCTTTGTATTCACCATCCTTAATTACATTGTATGATGTTGGGGGGACGCTTCCTTCATCAAACACTGCATCTAATGGAATTCTACATACAGCAACCCAAAAGAACATTTCTTGATTTAGTATGCATCACATGAGTAAGAAAAATGGTCAAGCAAAAAAGGGTTCTGTTTTCTTTTTGTGCTGTAGCTTTGTTGTTGTTATATGATGGGGAAACCTCACGTGGCGTCGCCTACAAAATCATCGGCAGTGCCAGCATCACTGTCCATGATTTTGAAGCAGAGCTGGCTGGTTCCTTCTGATACTGTAAACACAAAATTCTCGTTCCACTCCGGCTCGCTCCCCTTTCCTGCAAAAACCGAAATCACCATTTTTGCTCTTATCAAATGCATAATTGCATATCCCCAAAACTCCAGAAATTGTTTCAGAACCTGAAGCGACGCTGCTTTTCTGCTCATGGGTGCGGCAAGTCAGGATCACGTAAGGGTCCATGTTATCTGGGCAAAGTGAATTCAAAGATCTCGTCAAGAAAATCAATAACCATGAACAGATCTAGCGACATGAACCAATACCCATATCTCCAAATCGGGAAAAGTTTCAGACTTTGGGTTCTAATTTCTAATTAGAGGCGTGACTTACTGAGGAAATCAGTGTTCTCCAGGCCCTTGGCGCTGACGAGAAGGACTTCAAGAACACCTTGAGGCATTTTTCCTTTCTTCTTCTTGTTGTGGGCTGTTGTTTTTGCCGGAGATGAAACGATGAAAGATGGACGTGAAAGGTGTATTTGGAAGAACTCAAAGACAAAAATGCGATTGGTATTAGAGATATATAATATGGCGTTGGGATCTAAGACCAGTTCTCGGAAGTCTCGAATTGATCAATGAGCAGAATGAAAGATTGATTGAGGAAGACTCGACAGCATTATAGAATTATTTTATTTCCTCCTATTAATTATTTTTTCTCATCCCCGCCATTGAAGCCAGGATTCCAGAGTCAGACTTTTGCAGTGTAATATTTTTATAATATTATTGGTAGACTAGAGACAGGGAAGGTGGTCGGTGGCCAATCGCGGCCCATTTTTGTAAGATGGCTTCTAAGGCCCAATGTAAACCCGTCTATTCTTTTGGTTAAATGTCACATTTGTAATTGTGATTATTAAATTGTGTTGTGTGTAGTCACTAGAAAAAAATAATATCAATTTTGGTCATTCGAATTACTAAAATATATCATATTTAGTCACTCTTCTGTTAGCTTTCGTCCAACATGTTTCAATAATTTGAGTGACCAGAATTGATATTAATTTTTTCTAGTGACTAAACATGACATAATTTAATAATCTCAGTAACCAAATGTGACATTTATCCATTTTCTTTTATGCACGATTCCTTGTATAAACCTGAGATAGTGAGCGTAATGACAAAAAAAACTGACCATAAAGTTAGCTGTCTTTATTATTTTTTAATATTGGATCTATCATATGTTTATACTAAAAAAGTTTGTCTTTTACCAAAAAAAGTTTGTCAAAATTTTGATAATTTGACGATTATGAATTTTATTAGCTAGGTTAGGTGTGTTTGCTCTAATTTCAACTGTAAGTCACATCAAGTTAATAGTATCTATCGCTTGGAGCTGAGGAATAGGCAGTACTATAGCAAATTAAGTAAAATATTTCTTACTGAATGATGTCTGTTCCACATATTGGAAGATTATTTCTAACTTAAAGAAAAAAATAATGAATAATTTCGTTTTCCTATTACTAGGACAAGATCAGGAGCTCAAGAGATTCCATTTGTCACATGCTTAGATATTGTTAGATTAGGACAATTTTCAATACATGCGACTAGAATGATTTTTAATTTAGGTCGTTTGAAAGTTGAGATTATTCAAATATGTGTACTTATGAATACATGTATTATAAATACAAAAAAATGTAAGAGTTAAATGATTGGAAGAATGTCTTGTTTGTTTGTAGTCATTCAAAATTTTTAAAGAAAAGAAAAAAATCACTTCATGAGCTAAAGGTGGAACAAATTAAAGCTCACAATCTCAAATGAAGAATCTCACATTTTTCCTGATATTTAAAATGAGTGATTGTGGGTGATATGAGATTTGAGAGCCCACCTCAAATGCATATATTGAATAAAGTTTTGAAAAAAAAAACAATTGATTCTCCAGAATAAATGAATTCACAGAATCATTAATCTAAACTCATAATTTTCAAATGATTATTTGCAAGAGAAACAAGGAGGGTGTAGTTGATGCAACTCACATTGACAAATTCATCGACTCCATCTGAGTGTGACATTAAGAAGAAAAATTTAATCCATGATGGTATTTTTTTTCCTAACTAAATATAATATACAAAGGGGGGCCACACAAAAGACTTCTTTACTTTTATTCTCATTTCAACACGAAAACACCAAAGAAAAAGCAAGAACACCGACCAATTGTCTCCTTTCCTAGAACTGATACCGATCACCACATAACCAACATAAGAGCATGTTGCCTTAATCATACCGATCGATCGACTACTCGGAGTTGATCTTCTCGGTAACCATCTCCAAATTGACATTAGTACTGTTGTGGTTGTTGTTGATGGTAGGATGAGTAGCTCCGTAGGGACAAAACACAACCCTATAGTTGGTACCACTAGGGCAGGTGAAAGTGCTGCTGGGATCATCCTGAGGGTAACTGTAAGAGGTAGGACACCTATCCTTAAAGAACCTAGAGAAATATGTTGGCCCACAAGTCCCATAGCCTTGAGTGCAACAAAACTCATTGGTCTTAAACACGGTGCAAGGATTGTTGCAGCCACCCGGGGCTCGCAGCTCGTTGGGGCATTGGGTGTTGATATCCGCCGCGCAGGTTAGACTCTGACAGTTGCCGGAACCGACGTTGTTGGTGGGAGTGAAGATCATCGGGATGTTGAACCCATCCACCAGCGATATGTCGTAGAAGTCCAGGTTGGAGAACTGGTTGAGCGCATACTCGGCCAGCGTGTTTGGCGGTACCCCCCAACCGTTGCAGTTGAGGACCCCACCGCAGTCGCCTGTCTGGCACCATCCTCTGCCACTGGCATCGAAATTGCAGTTGGTGCGACCCCAGATACGAGCCATGGAAGTGCCAGCCGGCGGGTAGATGGTCCAGGTCTGGTAGGGGTCGAGGCGACGTCCACCTCCGATGGGGGTGGACGCGGCCCAGACGGTGTAAGGACAGTTGTTGAAGATGTCTATCACATTTGCATTGGTGATGGTCACCAAAAGTAGCAAGGTGGAGAGGAAAGAGGAGATGAACAAGTTGGGGAAGTGGCTCATCTTTGCTTGCAAGACCCTTTACACTGTAAAATTGTGGTTTGAGAATTTGGAGATCTAGTTTTGGTGGGTTGTGATTTTTGATTATGAAAGCACTATGGATGGGTTCAATTTATATATAGGTAGAGAGCTCGTTGGCCGGCCGCGATACTTGAATGTAGCATCATGGGTGTGTGGCGTTTTCTTCCCTCTTGCGCTCTTTAGTGTCCTTTCTATGGATTACAAAATTGAGGCTGCTACTCCATTGTAGACATAGTTTATCCTTGGAAGTCTTGTTTAATCGCAAGTGTGTCCTTTTGAATTACAAACTTGAGGCTGCTACTTTGCAAATTGGCTGCAATCATATGCCTCACCAGCTCCAAGTAGAATATCCAACAAAATAATTCCCCTACCAACCTTCTTTATACCTATAGGGTGTTAAATTTTAAACAAAAAAGAGGGCAACCTAAGTTGATATAGATTGGAGGCTGCTATAACGTGGATTGCCACATGCTTTTTAGCAACTTGTAGTAGATGGTGGAGCCTAATGTAGATATTTTAAGAACAGAAAGGTAATTTACTCAAATCTGGTTGGGTTTATTTTATCCAATATAAGTTTTGGATGATACAATAAAACAACTAAGCGATCAAGGATATATTATTGACTAAGTGCAAACTTGACAAATGTTTTATCTTCATAGATTTAAAGTAAATGGTATAATTGACACCAACTAGTTCTTGGTACAGTATTAGAGCTTTCCATTATCGATAGATTTTTGTGTCCGAATTCCGACAAACCTCATTTGTTAAGCACATGATATTTGACTGTGCACAAACTTCAAACCCATATGAGTTTGCTTTCGTTTGAGTATGGACTAAAGGATTGGCATATCAAATCTTGTAGTTACAGGTGAAGCGATTCCCATCTGGAATATTCTAGTGCACACCTTGATAACTAAGTCCAATATTCCTTATACTTTATCTTCAAAGAAAATTTACATACATATATAAAATTCAACCAAAAAGAGAAAATTTACTTAAAAGCCTAAAATAACTTAACAGTTGAAAAGTACGAATGGATGATCATATCACTTGATCACTAATTATCGAGACAAATAATTTCTTAAGTTTTTAGGACTCAAATCATATTGCATAGATAAAAATAAAGAACTTTGAAGTGAAATTAAACCGATTAAACCCTAATTTAAGTTCTTTTTTTTTACGATAATTTAAGTTCTATATAGATATGAAAAAAAATTTATTGAATAATACATCCTAAATCTTCAGGCTAAAAAATAAACAAAATTTTTAATTGTTTATCCATTTCCGTTAAATAAGTAACCACTGTTGCATTAAAAAAATAGTAACATTACCGTAAATTGTTAAATAAGTAACCAAATGCGTTAATCGTTATATAGATTTTAGCATAAATATATTAAGCAAGCCAAAATTTTCTTGGTACTAAAATAGAAAAAGTTTATTGGGCCGCCAGCCCATAATCCCAAGATGTGGCCCCCGTTAATCTTCCAATCCACCACCAACGATCGAAAAACATTGGGCCGTTTATGCCACAATATGTGCTTATTAGTTAACTAGTGTGGGTCCCGGCCAGTTGGCCGGAGGAATGTGAGGTATGAAATTTGATAATGCAATGGGGTGTATAGCTTATTGTTGCATAGTTTTTTTTTGGAAACTCGTGATAAAAATAGTGAATTTTAGTAGGAAAGAGACATGAATGATGCAATGAATCAAAAATCGGCCTTATGAACCAAAATCAAGTACATGTTACCTTGTGGAACAATATTGTTTCTGGTAATATGATGAGGTGGAGTAAGTTTTATAGAAACCGAATTCCAGAAAACTTTCATCTTGTCGATTTTCCGTCGATTTTCGGGAAATGGGCATCTCACAATGGTTGCTAGCTTTTATTCGGCCCGTTGGTTGATTAATTTGCTTTATAAAACTTTCATCGTGTCGTCATTGTGCTTTCTGGTTTTTGTTAGGCCATGATAAAATCTAAGGAAATCAAGAACGAACAACACGATTTGGGATAGGAACCGCCGTTGTCGTATCCCTAGAAAATGGTCGTAAACACCGACTCACCTGCCAATCTGGTTTGGATTGAGATTTTTATCGGGTATCAGGGAACCATGTGATTATAAATTAGACTTGATCAAAACGGGCCAAAACTTGAAATTCAGCATTTTTGACCGACTCATGCCAAATTCTAATTATTCTTTACTTTTAAACTTTCTATTTGAAAATAAAAAATAGTGAAAGAAAAGAGATGACTGCAATTCGTCATTTGCACATCACTTATTCGGGAATAAAACCATAAAAATTCAAAAGGAACTGAAAATTTTTAGGATCGTTTTAATGTTTAAAATAGCCAAATAGATTGTTATGTTTAGTTTTTTACTAACAAATATCAAACGATTCCCTATAAAATACACTATAATTTGATCATTATGATATCAAATAATTATATAATATATATTTGAAATGATAATAATTGGACTAATTGGGTTGGTTGAGGTTGAACCATTGAATAACTTTAAAATACATTATATTTTAGCCACTAAGATATAAAATAATAGCATAATATATATTATGCTAGAGAAAATAGCTTGTTTTAGAATGGCAAACCAATGATGTTCATTTGTTTTACTTGATGGCCAAATCCCGTGTAGATCAGGCTCATTCAACTCTTTTATTTTATGGTTAGGGGTTAGCCCATTAGATACCATGCATTAGTTTATTGTTAATTTTTTTATTTTTAGCAATAAAAAGGAGTATTGTTTTTGTCTTTTCATATATATTTTTATCACCACGGAGAAATAAAAGGGCTTAAAGAAAAAAATTGACACTCTTGGACCCGTTGAAATCCGCATGTGTACGGTAAGTTGACCCGTTCCACAGAGAAAGAGAAAAAAATTGACACTCCCTATTCTACCCTTCCTACAAACGCTCCTGGAGCAAGGAATTTGAAATGGGGGAAGAGTTTTTTCCTCCCTGCTATTATATGTTTTTTATTTAAAAAGATACAACAAACGTACTTAGTGTGATTGGTTATGATCATTGCTTTTCTTTAAAATGGACATGGTTCAAATCCCAGTAAGTGTCTTTTTAATGAATAAAAAAAAGTAATTGTGAAGACTAAAATGTCCTTCCTACTTTCACTCTCGTTGCAGGAAATTTGAAATGGGGCTCCCAATTTTTCCTTCGGTGTATTATATTATGTGTAGATAGTTATTAGCACTGTTTTTTTCCTGGTAAAAAATATGAACCATTGTTTTCGAGATGGCATATGTGGCTGAAGCTCCAACCTCGAACGTCAAGTGAGCAGGACTTGATTCCATGGAGTCACGGTCTTTCCGCGTCCACCTTTCGTGTTGTTGAATTTTTACAGTCACTCAATGGTCGGACCCCTCATTCCATTTTCTCAAGAAAAGAAAACTCTAAATTCCCGCAAACCTGAAAATAGCAAAAAACCCACAAATACCAAAACTTACGCTTTTATCCGCTCTATATAAATTAGGTCACATATAAGGTTATACCTCTCTTACAACGCAAATATAATAAAGTTAATTTGCTTTTTAACATTTATCGCAAATTTCTTTTTCCCCTTTTTCTTTTCCTTTTGGCAGGCACATTGAAAAAATATATATGGAGAAGAATACTTCGTTGAAGTTCGCCTTCTTGGTTGTTCTCTTGATCGCAGCCTCAGGTACGTACATAAGGATATAAACTGATGAAAACTGGGTATTTGTTTACACTATTTTCAAAGATTTGTGTATTGCAAGGTGGGTAATTATAGGTATTAATTAATGGAAATGTGTAATAATGTATACATCTTCTGTAGGCCTGCCATTGACGACAATGAAGACTGCAGAAGCTGTGACTGTACCAACGTCATGCACCACTGCTAAGGATTGTCATAAAATCTGCATCATCAGAAAGAAGAAATGTGAAAATGGAATGTGTGTCTGTGCTTTTTGAATTTTGATGAAACTGTAAGCATCGATGATGATGAAAGCGCTTAAGAGAAAATATGAAAAATGTGTTTATAAATTTTTTTTCCCCGTTGTGTGTAAGAGGATCGACAGAGGAAGTTTGGATCCGACCCGACTTTCACGGTTGCCCCAAGTAACAACCAACCCATTAACTTCTATAATTGATTAATGTATTCTATACCTGTATTTTTCTAGTATTATTCAACTATATCAAATTAACTCGTTTAGATTTTTTTCCAAATAAAAATGAAAAATTGGATTATACTATTGGATAATGGTGGATGACGGGCTGGAAACCCAGTGTTCCCTGATCACAAGACAAAATGATGGTAATTTGATCATAATAGTGAATTGTGAGTCAATTTCATCCACTCTTTTTCCTTTTTATCGTATGTTGTAAGTTATCAATGACGACTGAGATATATGAAATTCTCAATTGATAAGAAGTGAGGAAAACCGGAAAAGTCGTTGTGCTAAATGTAGGACGAACTTAATGTATTTGGATTATATTTTATACGTTATATATAGGCCTGTCGTTGACTACAATTGAATATTTGAGCACATCATATAACTAGCAATTGACGTGTATAGTTGAGTAAGTTGACTACCGCGTGTAGTTGGCAGTTACCATGCATGCATGCCACCTAGTTAATTACCAAGAAAAGCATAACAAGATAGTAATATTTGCATTTATGATAGTTATTGAATATTCCAACCGTCTAACAACATGGCAAATGGAAAAACATAGAAACTTGAAACGTGCTCATCATGCAAACTTGGCAGTTGACTGGTACATGCAATTCCCTCAACATCCCTATTGCTTCCCCAATATATATATATATATAAATAGTTGAAGATGAAGCAATCAATCAGTAAACGCGAATATCGATCAAAAAGCTGAACGCAAAGAACAGAAAGGAGGTAGACTCGATCTGTGAAGAAGGCGAATTGTCATGGGGAGGACAGCAATGGCGGCTTTGGTGGTGATGGTGCTGTTGGTGGCTCGTGGAGACATTTCTTCGGCCGCTGATTGCTATACTGATTGCTTAAACGGTTGTTCTTTGCCCGGGTACGCAAATTGCATAGCAAAATGCTTGAAACAGTGTTTTGGCGACGGCGGGAAAGCAAGCTCAATGGTCAGTAGGACGAGTACTCCCAAGAAATCCGAGGTGCAAAAGACACGAGAATAACAGGCAGCGTGAGCTACGGGACTGACTTAGCAGAATAAACGGCGGCCCTGCTAGTTAATTTTATGCATCATCCTAGGATGGCAAAAATATCCGTAACCGTGGATATCCGCCCGAATCCGGCCTAATCGGGTAGGGTAAAACTCAAACCCGAAGGACATTTAGTGGGTACGGGTAAAACCCGAACCCGAATATTGCGGGTAATGGGTGGGTATGGGTTTCTCAGTATCCAACCCGAACCCGCCCGATTATACACATACATATGTATTTTTTCTAGAAATAGTCATTATTTTTCTCTAACATATTTTATATTTAGCATATAAATATAATATTTTCATGAAATTGTGTTGTTTTAATTAATTTTCTTCATTCTAGTGAATTATTGTCATACTTTTCCTCTTCCGTAATATGAGAATACGTGTGAATGTTAATATATTAGTTGGAGTTATGAAGAGAAATCATTACCCATGGATAACCGTGGATACCCGAAACCCGAACAAGTATGTGCATGGTTTTAATTTTCTACCCGTTTATATGTGGGTATGGGTATGGGTAAAACCCGAACTACTTTGGATAGGGTAACGGATATGCACTATCTGTCCCCGACCCGACCCATTGCCATCCCTACATCATCCCATGTTTCAAGTTCGATTCGTGGACGAAATAATAATATAATATGATGCTATCCAATTCCTTATATATTCATTCTGCACGTTTTATATATACAACGACTATTATTATAAACACGCTGTTACGGATCGGAAAATTGTCGGAATCGATAAAGCAAGAATACGAAAGCGAGAATCGAAAAACACAGACATACGATTTACGTGGTTCACTAATTCGATGTGTGTTAGCTACGTCCACAGGCAAGAGGGAGCCAGTTTCACTATATCGAGGAGATTACAGATTACAGAGGAGTATGAGAAGTATTTATAGTACTTCTCCATGTGGGTCTAAATCTAATCTAATCTGGCAAAGGAAACGGTTACAGACCAGGCCCAAAATCCGAACCCAAATAACATTGAGCCCATAAACCGCAGGCCAGGGGCGTTGCCCCTCGACCCCACTCGCTGACCGGGCAGCGAGAACCCGACTACTAGTCGTAGCGGCTGATAGTCCGATTCAAGTCACATCAACAACTATAGCAGAGGCGTGTCAATAGTATGACAATTCATCGTTAGGTACTCAAATTCCAATTCCCATTTTTCCTTACGTAAAAAGAAATCTCCAATTCCTTTGTTTTTTTCCTATTTGTTTCTCCAACTTTTCCACTCTAGGTAGCAGACTTAATTAAATCAATAACATTTCTTGATCAATTGCTATTTCCCCTTTCTTGTCTACATAAATCAGCCCCTCAATTCTTTCCAATTAGTTTTTAGAGAACGAATGTGGTGAAAACACCTATTATGTTGTTTGGGTATATATTAACAATATTAGTATCTAACCAATAGGAGATTAAGATTGTGGTTATTTTTTTATTAGCTAGGTTGACTCAATTTATATAATGTAAATTCATAAAAGGATATAATAGTAATTTTGAATATTATGTTCAGTTTAACAACATTTTTTTATTAATTTTCCCAATTTTCTGACGCTGGATGACCGAAATATGCTCACAGTCGTTGGAATCCATTCACCGTGTTCGAAAATTAATGAATTGCATGCACCAAAAGATAAACTAGATGACAGATACAAGAAGTGGTTTGCTAGGAGGGTTATCAGAACCAAATTGCAGTATACATTTACAGCATATTTACAAAACCCTACTACCACCTACTGATCATCTTTAATATTATTCTACTGAACATATATACGTATTTATTGTTAAGATAGTGAATGCACGAAACTCTAGCTTAATGTGGTCGAGTAATCAACAGAGGTTTTCTTCTTTTGCATACCATTGGTATATATAGAACGTTTTAGCTTTTCTAATGTATAGTATACTTGTAGAATTGAGCCAAATTAAAGCAGTTTTGCTGAAACAAGTTTTACCTTTCGTTCTTTTCATTCAACGAAACATTGCATGTGATTACAGGTCGACAATGAGCCTGATATTGATAAGTAATTGAGAGGAAATAGTTGAGAAGCAAGTTCATACGCTAGCTAGCTAGTTGTTAAAGGACAGGGACACCTTAACCTCTGATTTCCATTATTTGTCTACACCCACGTATGTACAGACAAATATATTAGTCAATAATTACTAGCTCTCGCGTACTAATTCTAAGCGAACAAGTTGATGCAGCTAATTGGATTTGTATGCAATGAAAAAGTAGAAATTTTTAGAAGGTACTGTGTCAACGTTCTTCCTTAAATGCCCTTCTTTCCTCTTAGGATTACAATACAAGACAGCTAATTTTCGTCACAATGTGATGATGATACCAAATTTATTTGGTTACAGTCTTATAGAAATGTCAAAATAAAAATAACGACCAAAGAAAATACCCCATCACTACAAGAGTCAACCAGCTAAACAACAACATCATCCAGGCTAAAAAATCAAAACAACTCTAATAAAGACAAAAATATGGTTGTACTTGTCTCTCTATAAACAACCCGATTGGCAATTCTAGGAATCACGTTAACCACTACTCCAGGCCGGCAAATTGGTCGAAATAAGCAGCTGGTTTAAGAAACATCACGCAACACCGATCCACGTAAAGCAACAGATCGACAAGATGTTCTTCTTAAACTGATGAGTGACAATCTCTGAGTGGGTCACTAATTAACTATATTTACATGACCGGATTACCAATGCCTACAACAAACGAAATAACATATTAACCGCGCAATTTATATTAATGTCCTGATTCGCGATCGAGGACGCTAACTCGTAGGTGGTCCATGAAACCTTTCGATACTGATCACCAAAATATCTAAAAAGGTGACCACTATTTCCTGTTCTAGCCACCATTTGTTTTAGTTACAAAACCTAATCTATTGTAGAGAGATACCGTCAATTTGTTTTGGTTGGTTCACAGCCTGATGCACGTATACAGTATTTTCGTTTCCGTTAGACGCCAAAACGGGTAGCTAGCGGTATTCCATTTCCCCGATCTAGTACAAACTCACAACTACTATAATGCCCCAAATTAAGCCGCGTTAGCTAGCAGTGCTGGGTGGTTGACATTTTAATTACCAAGGAGAGAGCGCAGATAATAGAAGTAGAAAGCAACCAAAAATGGCGACTGTGCATATGTAGCTAGGTGATTGAACTTTTAACCAAAAGAGTGATTTGCTTATGCGTACACGGACGAGGTGAGAATTAATTGATAAGTTGCACGCTGCAGAGATATGAGAGAAGGGATGTAATAATTAAGTTAGTTAGAAGTGGTGATTTTCCGGAGGCTGCCAAAATGAAATTGCACTACACATATATAATTACGCACAACATGCATCTATATAAAACCCCACTGCGCACCTAGCTAGCTACTGATCGTCATCATCACTAATTGATCACCTGAATAAAATCTCTGTTCATCGGTAGTCTTCACCTCTTCGTCCACATTTAACTTAAATTCCGGCCTCCCGCGTATCTCTTCAACCTGTTGCAATAATGGAAATTCAGGAGGAAACTGAAGTAGTAGATCATCATCATCATGTAGTAGAAGAGACAATCGAAGTCAGTCCCGAATTGGCCGGTGTAGTGGAAGCGGCGGCGGCGATACAGATCAACCAAGGTAGGTACACGTGCATGCATGGATGTCTCTGCTTTTAGATCTTTATACTGGACGAGAAAAGGTCGACTCATGAGTTTGGAGTTCGGGCATATAAATTAAAATTATTACATACTTTAGTCCATTTTTCAGGCAATATTTAAACTTAGAAGATAGTGTCTGTTACGGTTGGTGTGGTTGCTGTCAGATTTCCATATAGTTTATGTTTGAGTTATACATATGAATTTATTTATTTTTGAAATAAATAAAAATGAATATTGGAGATAAACAAACAAATATATTATACTCTCGTCGAGCACTTCACTTCAGTTGATACAAATGCTATTAATTGTCTTTTTCCCTTTCTAATTTTGTATTCACAACGTTTGCAGAAGAACAACCACAACCGATAATCGTTGCAGACGTGCCGCCGTCGCACCGCCACCCACGTTCCAATGCTCCTCCTACCGAAGCCTCGCCTCCCTTCTTCGTCGTCATCCATCGACCACCAACACGTAAAACTATATCCATTAATATTACATATATGACGTACATTAGTAAAATTGATCGGGGTATCATCCAAAATATATTTCTTATTTTAATTTGTAATCCCTCGTTACAAACAAAAGGGACATACATGTCTGTGAAACTCTCACCCTATCGAAGTGCCGATCGAGGAAGCCCCTTGTAATGACAATCAAAACAAAATTCTAACTCGTTAAATTTGATGGACAATCAAACTATCACCATAGAAGAAAAGTTTTGTTTAATCATGGAAACTCTCTTACTTTGAAAGTATATTTTCCTTATTAAATAGTTTTCCACGAAGAATTTTCTGTAATATGAATTTCGTGTCTAATTGTAAAGTTCATGACAAAACTCAAGTACCCAACTTCTGTTTGAAATTTGGTAGCGTATGTGGGTTTGCACAACATTTTATATTAATGCTGCAATGCGGGAACATAGCTAAGCTTTCATGATTTTTAATGAATCGGACAACGTAAAAAAAATCATTTATAATTATAATTTATATGTTTATAACAAGAGTAGTTTCTTCTGTATGCATGCAGCCACAGATAGTCCCGGCCTGCGCCGAGTTCTGGTTACAAGCATAAGGGCCAAGTTGCTAAGCTACCCTATTTCTCTAGCGTTTATCCTCTTCACTCCTTTCTTCCTTTATGGTTGTGGTACGTGTAACGCATTGATTTGTTCGCATATCTCGTTTAAAATCCAAATGTTTTAACTTTTCCATGTGTTAATTTTAATTTAAGTTAACTAAAAATGTTTATGATTGCAGATGTAGGGTTGATGAACGCGGCGAAGGAGATAGAGAAAGATCTCAAGATCACGTCCTTGCAGGCTGGGTTCTTGGCCGGCTTCATGACAAGAGTGCCAGGCATCCTCGGCGCACTGTTCGCCGGCGTGACGGCAAATCTCATCGGACGGAAGTACGTGGCTTTGATAGGCAGCGTGCTCTACCTTATCGGAGCGGTAACCATCTTGTTCACAGGTGAGTACACCACTTCCATGGCCGGGCGCGCTCTGACGGGCCTGGGGATCGGAGCGGGACTCGTAATCGGGCCCGTTTTTATAGCTGAAGTCGCGCCTTCAAAAAGACGGGCCTTTTTAACCACTTTCCCCCAGTTGCTCTTAATTTTGGGGTGGGCCTACGCGTGGATACCGTCGGCCCATCCACGTTGGCGGGCAAAGCTGCTGATAAGCGCGGGCCCATGCTTGGTCTCCACGCTACTCCTCGCTTGCTTGCCGGACACGCCATGTGCGATAATAACCATGAGCGGGAAGCTGGAGGATGCAGAAGAGGTTATGTCGAAATGTGGGGTTCCGGAGGGGGAGAGGGAGGCGAGGTTGGGCGAGTTACAAACGGCTGCCAAGATTCCGATACACCTCGTCACCAATGAAGAGGCCATCAATGCACCAAGCAGAAGGAGGAGAATCACATGGTTCCTCGAGGACCCGGCCACGGTCACTGGTTTCACCGGGAGTTTGCTCATGACTGCGGCTCTATTCGTTGCTCAGGAGCTGGCACTCGAGCACAAAAACCTACAACACGCAGGACTCATCTTTGAGAAGCATTGGCACACCTATAAGGCCTCCAGAGTAGCCATCATGGTCCTGGTCTGCATCAAGGTGGTGGGAGCGTTGGTTCCGGTCTTCACAGCCAACGCCTCCGGACGTCGCAGGATTCTTCTGCTTGTCAGCATGGGAGCCACAGGAGTTTTCCTGGTAGCCCTTGGCGGGATGTTGCTAGCGGATTTTCGTGCGAGACGCACTACTGTCCCTTTCCCACTTTACTGTGTTGTGTTTGTTGGTGTTGAGCTGTCACCTGCCATTGGACTGGGTGCAGTTCCCTGGATGCATGGTCCGGAGGCTTTCCCACTTCTGATTCGGACGCCTTTCTTCGGCCTTTGCGTGGCCGTGAAGCTCGGTATTAGACAATTGTTGACAGTGAGACTCCCGCTACTCACCCACTCGGACACTTTAGGTTTCGGTTACCTGTTGCTCGGTGGGGTTCTGGCGATAGGCTTCGTACTGTGCTGGATATTTTTCAGAGATGACCGTACTCGTAAACTGTTAGTGGATGATACCGTTGCTCATCGGTTATGGTCAGTACTAGCTCTTAAAGATCACACTCGTCGTCCTCTTCAAAATGTTTAGCCGAGGATTGATACTTTTGCCCTTCCATGTTTACATATAAAATTTGGAGCAAAAGTTATTAGTACAAAATAAGCACTAGAAAGTAGAAAGAAAACAATGTAGTTTCTAAGCACATTAATTCTCTAATTTGTAATTATTAACGCATCATTACATGTTTTGCTGTTATTCTTGGTCTAGTTCATTATAATATGCTCAGATTGTTTGTTTGAATTGTTGGGCTTCATGATCTATTGTCATGGGCTTCATTATCGAATTTCAACGGCAATCACCAATTATATATGACACGGGTAAAAATGGTAGATAAAAGAACTGCTTCTGACTATATGCCATGAAATATTGATGTCTGTGGAAATAATTGGTAGTTCAAAGTTGTGGGCATGTACATCTTTTTATTTATGAACTAGAGGCGCCAAAAGCACGCCGGGATTACACTAATCACTCAGCTGAGAGCCAAGCAACGTAGGTTAAGAAAACAAAAGCAAAACAAAAAAGGAACACTCTAACAAATCTTATTACTTCATTTCGATCATTTCTCCGACGAATCATCCATAATCTTTGGTGGTTTCGATTCAATTGATTCTCCAATGAAATCTTGTTGAGGTTTTCATGGCAACTAATCCTTCGCCAAGCTTTGCTTCTCTTGTCTCCACACTGGCTGACGTCAATCACGAGTACTTCATCCCTCACGGCGAACAATATTATTTTTGTGTTGTCCGAAAGAGAATACCGAGGACTTGATTGAACATTTGTAATAGTGTTAAGGACTTGATTGTATGTTTGTAATAGTGTAGGATTAATTTTGTAATGTTTATTTTCTTTATCATTAGATTAGGATTTCATTCATAGGTGTATATATAATCTTGTATCTGTAAACAAACTGTGTAATTTCTCTTCCAATTAATAAAATCTACATCGGCACTGTCGATTTCCTCCTACTTCTCCAATGATCGAGACATCCAACACACACTGACATGATATGTTGATTATATAGAGATTACGTACCATTACGTAATATTTTATATATGTATATATATATATATATATAGAGGTTTGTAGTATCCAAGATAAAGGGTTAATACCTTATTTTGGCCTGAACTATGATTATATAATCAACTTTGGCCCGTGGTTTCAGAAATTAACATCTTGACCTCAACTATGCAGCATATAGACTCAATTGACCCGACACATAGTTTGACCGTCAATTTGGACGGTCAACTCCGTTGACCGTTAGTCAACATGCCATGTCATTGCCTAGTAAGCATAAAAATCATTAAAAAAATTCAAATTCAAATTATTTTCCTAATTTCTATTATTTATCATTTTCCAAGTAACCAAAAAATAAAATTCTAAAAATATAAAATAACTTTTTTTGGGATATTTGAAAATGATAAATTTTATAAATTAACCAAAATTATCAAATTAACTTTTAAAAATTTAAAAATTATTATATAAATTATATTTTTTTGGGAAGTTTTAAAAATATAAAATAATTTGATAATTTTTGGTTAATTTATAAATTTATCATTTTCAAATTATCCAAAAAATAAAAAAAATTATTTTATGTTTTTTATCATTTATTTTTGGTTAATTTGATAATAAATAATTTTTTAATGATTTTTAGGCTGACTAGGCAATGACATGGCGAGTTAACTAACGGTCAACGAAGTTGACCGTCCAAATTGACGGTCAAACTATGTGTCGGGCCAATTGAGTCTATATGCTGCATAGTTGAGGCCAGGATGTTAATTTCTGAAACCACGGGCCAAAGTTGATTATATGTTCATAGTTCGGGCCAAAATAAGGTATTAACCCAAAGATAAAATATGAGAGGAATTACTGTCATATTGACGATACCATGTTTAAAAAGCTCATGTTCTCTTTCTTCCTTTCGTTGCATTCGATTATATGACATAGTATCAAAACCTGCTATCTAGGATCACTCTAGATCGTATTTCACAGACTTTGTTCGTTGATGTGAGTTATTTAACGTCACAACTTAGTTTTATGGCTACGACACTGGCATGAGGGAAGGTTTGGTACGTTGTATTTTGGGTGGAATTGGCTTTTTTTTTATTCTCCTGTTGGCTTATTTGGTCCTTGCATTCATTGGATTTGTTTTTGTTACTCGAGGCTTGCTAGCTTGGATTTGCAACCTGTTCAAAAGATCATAACGAGAGATCAAACCGTTGGATCGTGCTGAAATTTTATGAGCGTATTCAAGGCTCATTTTCCTTCTATCTGACCGCACGGACCGTCTATATAATCCCTGGTTGGTCCATGATTTCTTAAGGACAGAGAGAGTACGAACTTGTTTACTGTATTGCTAAAACGTCTCTTCTTCTTTGTTATCCTCCATGTTAGTGAGAGATCAGTGATCCAAGAAAGTTATTCTTGAGGTAGTTTGTAATCCTCTAGCTAGTCTAGAGAGGACTTGTAATACCACCAAAGTATAGTGAAGTTGTGACTTGGATAAAGGTCCCATGGTTTTTTTCGATTTGGGTTTTCCACGTAAAATCGTGTGCGTGTCTTGTTCATTTCATTCTTGTTTGATTTTTTTTGCACCGTATCTCAACAGTGGTATCAAAGCCCAAGGTTGTTTGGGTGCTGTTTTGGGTCAATGGCAAGAATGGAGGACACAAATGAAGAAATGATCAAGTTGACGTCATCCAACTACTCAATTTGGAAGTCACGAATGGAGGATATATCGTTTTGAAAGGATCTCTATGAACCTATCGAAAGTGGCAACAAGAAGCCAGAAGATAAGTCGGATTAGCAGTGGGAGGTCTTGTATAGAAAGGCGGTGATAATCATTCGACAATGGACCGATCAAAACATCTTTCATCATGTTGCAAGAGATACAAAAGCGATGAATTGTGGCAGAAATTGGAGTCCATGTATGAGCAACAATCAGCTCAAAACAAATCCTTGAAGTACAAGGATGGGCATAGTGTCTGAGTGATTTTCAAGGGCTTCTCAACCATCTAATTACGATGAATTTAGCACTTGATGATGAGGTGCAAGCATTGTTACTCCTTGATGGTGCACCCGTCCCACTGAAGTTTTTCTCGGAGGAGGAGGCACGTCACAACTCACACGGGCCAGAGACAATGCCCACGGCGCGTGTTGCCCACCCAGCTCCTTGCGGCTGTCGCTTGCAGTACCATTTTAATGGCTCGAGACCAATTAATTAGGGGTTCAACTGAATTTTTTTAGTTACCATTTCTTGATTGGCCAATTCATTCAATTACTTCTATAATCAGTTAATCACAACCCAAACCCATGAGGTTCTAATTCTATTGTATAGAAGTGGACGTTTTATACTTGCGTGTTCAATTTTGTGTTTTAGTTATTAATGGCGTCATATTTGAATTTAATTTTTTTTATGTCCAAATACAAAAATTATATTGTAGTGTATGTCTTAATTAATTATACTCAACTATATAAAAAAAAAAAATTAAATTATCTAATTAAAGTGATGAAATTTACATTAAACTAAATTATGACATAAAACTAATATTTAGAGATTCGACCCTTTAGTCTTCTTTATTGGAGCAAATCCACTTTTCTGGGACTAGGATGTCAAATCTAACCCCAAAATTTGGCATTCTAGTCTTTTGCATTGGAGATGGTCATAACAATAGAATGACAAATGATAAACGCTATTATATATACTATATGAGTTTGTCAAACAGAGAAATAATTATATAGACACTAGCGAGGAACATTAATTAATTTAATGAACGGAATCATAGCTCGATCACGCTTTGCGTAAACAAATCATAGCTCAGCCAATATAATAATTATCATTAATCGTAATTATCTGAATTATGCCCAAGCATAACTCAATCCAGCTGGATATCCCCAATTATGGGGTTTTCAATTTTTTTCTTTCTTTATTCTGTTTTGGAAAAAAAAAAAAAAAAATTGGTGTAGCTTCTACATTTTCATTTTCAACATATATTCCCTAAAATTGAACAATGAACTTTTCATACGCTTGATATGCGGTCTCAATTAAGGGTCGTATAAACAATGGAAAACAGATATAGTAAACGGTATAATGAGCGCCCATTTTATTCTGTGTCGAAATTAAATAACTCAAAATCAAGAGAAGAAACATGGATATTGTATATAATAACTAATGGGTCCTCTAGTCATGAGGTTTCCTCACATTAGTTGTTCTTCTTGTGTATTTCTCCTTGGATTTCTTGACGCTGGTCGGCGACCTTGTGAGGTGCACACTTCTTTAGGCATGGCATTATGCAAGTTTCAAAAACGATGGGAGGGCAATCGTCTAAGCACTTATCATAGCAGTCCAAGAAAGGATCTGCTGAACAAGTACTGTCTTCCCGAGCCAACAACAACATCATCACCACGAAAACCACCATCGATATTCTCCCCATAACTATGCCTTCACAGAGTGACTGTATATCTCCTTTGTATTCTTTGAGTTTCGATGTTCACTTTTGCAGATTCCTTCTTCTTCTTCGACTCTTATATATAGTGGGAAGAAATATATTGATGTTGAAGAATGTACCATATGAGTTTTATTAAGTTTCCTATCTTATTATGATTTTCTTGGCAAGTGGGTGACATGCATGGTAACTGCCAACTTTGCATGATAAACACGTTTAAGGTTTCTATGTTTAGTGTGCCATGTGTATCTTATATGTAACGTTTTATGAGGAGATAATAAAACTCTTTGTTCTAGGTGTAGAGAATGGAGAGATGTATCTCCCTATTAATGGTAAAAAATAATAGATATATATTTTCCTAATATTTATTTTCAAATATATATTTTCCTAATATGTAATCAATATATATGGCTGGAGAAGTGATTATCCGAAATTATGTCATTAAAAAAGAAAAGGACAGGGTATAAAATGATATCTTACAAAACTTCATCACTCACCTCACTATCATGGTATCATCTAATGACTCATAATAATTCTTAACAAAAAAAGGGATGGTTTGGTAATTCCTCCCCCTACATTTTTTGGTTTGACACTCTAATACGAGTCCAGAGAAGAGGGAATGTACATTTTTCAATCGCCTATTTTTTTAATCGGATCCTATAGCATTTATTTTAACACGAAATTTTAAATTTTTTACATAAAATAAATGCAATAATTATGATCTAACCTATTTGTAAATTTTAAAAAATTTGTTGACTAAAGTTGTTGCCTCTAAAATACATTGGTACATGCTTTCAAATTGACGTTGAGATATCCAAACATAAATTTGAGGAAGGGTGTTGATTATTTAGAGATTAGGTACCATTATGTAATTAAATATTTTAGGGTTTGTAGTATCAAACCCTATATATATGGGGTTTTATGTTACATTGAAGGTAAATGAAATAAGAAAAGGTCAAACCTGAAAGGTAGAGATCCTCTGTGGATTAGTGTCATAATGACAATACCACGTTAAAAAAGCTCATGTGTTCTTTCTTTCTTTCTTTCGTTGTATTAGATTAATTGACATAAGAAACTCCACATTTACTGGTTGGATGACCTGTCTGGAATAACTGATAGCAATCTGGTCCTCCATCATGATTTCTGCAGATCAGGAGGGATTTGACAACTCGAATTACCTGAAGGGATAGACGATACTACAGTTTGTGGCTCTATTCTCTTCGCTATAGGTGTGAAATATACGAACCACCCTTTCCCGAGCCGGCTCATGTGACATTAGAAACTCCCCAGTTACTCTTTAGATTACCTGTCCGAGATAACTGATAGCAATCAGGTCCTCCATCATGATTTATGCAGATCGGGCGGGATTTGACAATTCGAATTACCTGAAGGGACAGGCGATATTATAGTTTGTGGCTCCATTCCTTTCATGATAGGTGTGAACTATACGGACCACCCTTTCCCGAGTCGACGTATAGCTCCTAGGATGGTGGCCATATATATGTAGTTGTATGTTACATTGAAAGTCAAGAAAATAAGAGAAGATAAAACTTGAGAGGGAGATCCTCTTCATGGACCAATGTCATATTGACAATATCACGTTAATAAGTTCATGTATTCTTTCTTTCTTCCTTTCATTGCATTAGATGATTTGACTTTAGAAATTCCGCAGTTACTTCGTTGGATGTCTGGTCTAGGATAAGTGATAACTAACGATAATCAGGTCCTCCATCATGATTTCAGTAAATTGAGTGGGATTTGACAGCTCGAATTACTTAAAGGGATAGACGATACCAAAATTTGCGACTCTATTTCCTTCGAGATAGGGGTGAACTATTTGAACCACCCATTCCCGAGCCCACATATAGCTCCCAGGTTAAGGGTGGACTGCATTAGTTCTTTTGGGTACTATACATGAATATGATTAAAAACAGAATCAGTATTGATAAATGATAAATACTATTATATATACTAAATGAGTTTGTCGAACGGAGAAATAATTATATATACATTGGCCAATCACGTTGTTGCGAAAACAATTCGTAGCTCAACTATTATGTACTTATCATAAAACATAATTATCTCAATTAGCCCAAAATATAACTATATCAAGCTGGATATCCCCAATTATGTGGTCCAAGATAGGGTCAGTAACCACACGGGAGCCGTAGATCTGGGGATGGAGCAATCGTGTGGCTGGGCCGGATGCGGGGTGGGGAGGGGCATTTTTGTCCGTTTTTGTATTTTTTATTTTTTTTATTTATTCCACATTTCAATGGCTGACTTTTCAATGAAAGAGAGAGAATTGCCTTTTCTCTGCAACTCAACTTTCTTCCTTCTCTCTTCCTTTTTTCAATCTCTTTCCAGATCCTTTCTCTTTCTCTATTCCTTCTCTCTTATTTTTTCTCTCACAATCTCCTTTTCAAATCTAGATCTGCTCTCTTCCTTTTTCATTTTTTTTCTCTAGCAATGGACGATTAAAAATTGTAGCCACTCTCTTTCATTGCATTTCTTCTCTTCGTCAACTCGTTGGCCTCAATTCCGATCTTTCTCATTTTTTTGGCATTTTGGTGTTCTTGATTGAGGAAGAGGAAATGAGAGACATCAGAAGACGATTTTTTTCTCTCCCTCCTTCTGTTTTTTTCCTTTTAGATAATATATATTGATATTATGACTCTATACCATATGGTATTGGGTGGTAACGAAATATATATTGATATTACCACACTATACCCTATGGTAATGTATGGTATTGCGTGATAACGAAATATATATTGATATTACCATTCTATACCATATGGTATTGTGTGATATTACCACACTATACCATATGGTATTGTGTGATAACGAATATATATTTATATTACCACACTATACCATATGGTATTGGGTGGTAACGAAATATATATTGATATTACCACACTATACATATGGTATTGGGTGGTAACGAAATATATATTGATATTACCACACTATACCCTATGGTAATGTATGGTATTGCGTGGTAATGAAATATATATTGATATTACCACTCTATAGCATATGGTATTGTGTGATATTACCACACTATACCATATGGTATTGGGTGGTAACGAAATATATACTGATATTACCACACTATACCATATGGTATTGGGTGGTAATGAAATATATATTGATATTACCATACCATGTGGTATGGTCTTATTTAATACCAGTAAATACCATATGGTATAGACTGGTAATTGTATGGTCTTATTTAATACCAGTAAATACCATATGGTATAGACTGGTAATAATTGGGAAATTTTTTATGTCCAAAAAATATCAAAGTGGATATCATTTTAAAGAGCACAATTAATCTGATCTAACTGTGCAAAAAAAATTAAATTCCGACTTAAAACGAGTGAGAAATCGTCCGTTAAAGATTAAGAGAATAAAAATTAAAGATTTTTCGAGGAGAGAGAAGGAGGCGCTGATATGGTCCGGTCAAAAGTCAGCGTCAGCAATAAATAGAAGTAAGTGCAATTTTACCTTCCTGCCCTTCCGCATTTAATTTAAATAAAAAAAGGGGGTCTGAGACGTGAAGATCAGAGAAGGAGTTACTGATGGGTTACTGACCCATCAGTTACTGACATCATCTGCTCCCCAATTATGGGGATTGCAATTTATTTTTCTTCCATTATTCTGTTTTGGCAAAAACTTTGGTGTAGCATCTGCATTTTGTTTTTCATCATGTTCCCCAAATTAAACAACGAAATTTTCATACGACTGACGCGACACGCGGTCTCAATTAGGGGTTGTATGAAAAAAATGTACAACAAATATAATAAATGGTATACATGAGCGCCCACTTTATTCGATGTCGAAAACAACTCAAAATCAAGAGAAGAGACATGAATAATAATGCACATAATAATAACTAAGCTAATAGGTCCTCTACTCATGAGGACGCCTCACGTTATTTGTTCTTGTGTATTTCTCCTTGGATTTCTTGACGCCGGCCGGTGACCTCGTGAGGTGCACACTTCTTTAGGCATGGCTGTATGCAAGGATCAAGAAAGATCTTGGAGCAATCCTTTAAGCACTTTTCGTAGCAGTCTGTGAAAGGACTTGCTGAACAAGTACTGTCTTCACGAGCCAGCAACAACACAAGCTGCCATTGCTATTCTCCCCATAACCGTGCCTTCACAGAGTGAGTGTATATATCCTTTGTATTCTTTGAGTTTCGCTTCTGATGGTCACTGACGACTCTTATATAGTGGGAAGTAATATATTAATATTAAAGAATGTACCATATAAGTTTTATTAAGTTTCCTATCTTATTATGATTTTCTTGGCAAGTGGGTGACATGCATGGTAACTGCCAACTTTGCATGATAAACACGTTTAAGGTTTCTATGTTTAATTTGCCATGTGTAACTCTCATATGCAAATTTTTATGAGGAGACAACAAAACCATTTGTTTTAGGTGCAGAGAATGGACTGTTCATGGTAAATATAATGCATATATATTTTCCTAATCTGTAATCAATATATATGGTTGGAAAACTGATTATCCGATCAAAAAGATTTCACCAAATTTTCTATATATGGCTACTGATCGATGTTATGGAGAAGGATTTAATGAATCCCTTTATATATGGCTACTGTCGTTATACGGCTACATGATTGTACGAAGCATATAGAAGTGCATGTGTACTACATTCAACAACAAGTAGCAGAAGGGATGATTCAGCTTAGCTATCTCTCGACTGAGGAACACACTGCATATTTGTTGACTAAATTTGTTGCCTCTAACATACATTGGTACCTGTCTTTTAAATTGATTTTGAGATCTCAACATCAATTTGAGAAAGGGTGTTTATTATATAGACATTAGGTAACATTATGTAATTAAATATTTTAGGGTTTGTAGTATCAAACCCAATATATATGCGGTTGTATGTTACATTTAAGGTCAAGGAAATAAGAAAAGATAAAACCTGAGAGAGAGATCCTCTCTGTGGACTGTGACAATAACACGTTAAAAAGGTCATGTGTTCTTTCTTCCTTTCGTTGCATTAGCTTATTTGACATAAAAAAAACACCACAGGTACTCGTTGGTGACTTGTTTGGGATAACTGACAACAATCAGGTCCTCCATCATGATTTCTGCAGATCGGGCGGGATTTTACAGCTCGAATTACATGAAGGGATAGACGATAGTGTGGTTTGCGGCTCTATTCCCTTCGCGATAGATGTGAACTATACGAATCACCCTTCCCCAAGCCGGTGTATAGCTCCCAAGATGGTGGCTATATATATATATATAAATAAAATATATATATAATGATGTTAC